CAGAGAACATTTTCAGTGCCTGTCAAAGGCCACACAGAGGTAAGAATCTCCATTTTTAACAGGATCAATATAGCGAATGCACAAGTACATATCTGGAAGAATTAAACCTGTGTAACGTTCATCGTAGGCGTAGAGCGCATAAGATAATGAACTATCATAAACCCTGTCCGGTTATGCCCATGCGTACAATGGACGAGGATATATTTCTTTGTGTGTTTTTGATTAAGGATGAAATGAATAACCTGAAAATAGTATCCTCAAATGAGCCACCAACAGTAGATAAGTTTGTACTTCAATTAAAACTCAACTCAAGAGGAGATAATAAACTCCAAGTGAAGAAGAGAATAGAACTTATGAAACAAGTACCTCGTTGACGAAATTGTTTACAGAAACGTTATCTGGCACAGCATCACGACCCCTGCATGCGATCTACAACAGTAAAAAGAAGATAAAGCAATCAGCTAAATGCTAGTGCAGATGATACAAAGAATAAAACACACAGAGTATTCGATTAATCACCTTAACATGCTTGATGCCATCCTTCTTTAATTCTAATGTAGGATAGTAACGAGTAGTATTAGTTAGATCAATCACAAGACCAAGCTGAAGAAAATAGCCATTACTTTGGAGATCAGATGCATAGCAAAGCAAAAAAGATTGATACATGTAAAGGAAAAAAAGAAGAGTTACCTTTCGTCCATTAATTCTCTGGTTACGGACCACCTGTTTAAAAGAGTATCTTTTGCCAGGAGGAACATGTTCGTTGTAAGATTCACTAAGAGGAACCTTAGAAGGAATAATGCATCCTATCTCCAGACCAAAACCAGGACAATCAAGCCAACCTGTATCAAAATATCCATACTTTATGAAACCAATGAACATAAAACCATCGTTAGAGGAAGTATAGCAAAGCATATAATATAACCTTGAGGGATCTTGCTTTGGTCATAAACTCTAGTATCTCTGTTCTGGTAAGACTGATCACGGAAGACAGGCTGAGAGATTCTGGTTGGCCTGTCAAATCTCATTCGTTTCCTTCGTTCTTCACGCTCCTATAACACCAAAAGGAAAAATAACGTAATCTATCAGAGGGGTTTTCAAATAATAGACTTTGTAATGTAGTGAACTCTAGAGTCTGTGATAATGGAATTGGTATTGTGTTAGTACCCGTCTTGCGATCTCAACAGCAGATTCAATTCGATCTTCAAGACGTCTCTTAAAGGGCTCATCGTCTTCTTCGGGTTGGGGTGAAGCATTAAGGTCCATCGCAGCCGATCAATCAGTCGATGGCTATTGCCAAAACAACATCATTTTATCAAAATCCCAATTCCCAATCGGCTCCTCTGTAACCGATTGCCAAAATCAATGCAAAGAGATCGACACAAATTCGAGGCAGTAGGAGAATCAGAAAGAATGAGAGAGCGAGACGAAATCAGAATTAAAACTATAATCGAAACCTAGAAGAGGAGATGATGGCTAAGATATGTACCCTTTATAACCAACCAGCTTGCCGTACATACAAAATTTTAATTAAAAAAAAAAGAGAAACCTATTGTCAGATTTGAACCGTGGCCTGATCTGGAAAACCTCTCACACTAACCAGCAGAACCAAGAAATATTTCAACAAAGCACCAGCTAAGTAAACTAATGTACTCTTGCGCAAGTCGCAAGCTTATTTGATTAGATTCTCAAATTCAATTCAATGCGAAGTTATTGTGGTTTCTACTTCTGTGTCTCCTTCTTTCTGATATGCTTTTGCAATAACAGTTCAAGATTCGGCATCATTTCCTTTCAATACCAATTGCCTTCCTTGGTACTGATTTGTTTTGTTAAAAAACTTGCAATATTCTCTCATCATTTCCAATAACTGCTTGCTGTTCATTTTCCATTAACGAGATTTCCTGTTTTTGACATAAACATCATGTTAAAAGACATGTTTGGTTGTTTGAGAAAGTGCCGTGAAGCAAAAGCAGATGGAATTAAAGAGGACAGTAGTTAAATACAATGAAAAATAAGAAATCTCCATCCTGGAGTTTCAGATGGACAACATTCGTTTTTTCTTTTTATCATCACCCGTTATTTACTTTGACAAGGTTCATCTGATGGTTTATAATTGAGTTTGGTCTTATTATTATTATTTCATATAATTAGATAACTATTGTGTGTGTAATTAAGTGAAGAGGTGTGTATTAATGGGTACACATGAAAGGGTGTATACGTTATATTGTTGCGTTGGTTCGTGACTTGTTGTGAACGGTTGCGACCGTGTACGTAAGACATGTATATATAAGTGTATGTGTTCTTGTAATAAGTTAACAAGTTTCACTATAATAAAAATTCAGTTTCTGTTCTTGTCTTTTACAAGAGAAGAGACAAAAGTCTCTTACTCTGTTTTTTCTTCTTCTCTCTCAAATATTCCAACATGGTATCAGAGCTTTATTGGTCTTAGAGCCTTTAGAAGCAAAACAAAAATAAGAAGAAATCCGCTGCTAGTAAAAGAGAGATGGAGTCAACAAATTTATGGTGAGAAGAAGATGAAGAAGAAGAAGACATAGAAGAAGAAGGAAGGAAAGAGGTGATGACAAGAGAGAGCATCATCAACTTTCACAAAGAGTTTCATCAAGAAGAAGGCTCCAAAGGGATGATGAAGATAAGGAATCTTCTCAAAAGGAAATGGAAACTAGATGTGATGTTAGAATTGTGGAAGGAGAATCTT